CACACACACACACACACACACATATATATATAAAGACTGCCTGGAGTCACACACTCATACACTCAGGGAGGAAAAAAGAATAGAGACAGAGAGAGGAGGGAAAGGGTTGTAAGCGGTGGAAAATGAGTGCGGAGAAGCTGCGTTAGGATAAATGTTTGATGTGGGAAATTCCACTCGGCGGTTTTCACCTGAGCAATGATGTTCTACATTTATCACACAAAGTGGATACAGGGCTATTCACTCGGATCATTACCAGGGTTAATACAGGGCAGGAGACGGGTGTGTCCCGGCTGACGAGGAGAGTTGTATAGCCGTCAACCTGATGATATGTTGTGTTAAATGAGATTGATGCGTGATCATGTGCGGCGGGTTCGTGATCCATCAGCGACAGAGGAGAGAGAGAGAGAGTGAGAAGATGTGGAAGATAGTTGACTGATAGAGAGATATAGGCTCATGTTTTATTCACAGATAACAGTATCTTCCCTCTGCTCTCCCAAACTGCCCAGCTAGTAACAAAGTGCTGGGATGGGCCCATTTCTCTTCCTCTCCCTTCCTCTGTCTACCCCTTTCCTCTCCCTCACACTCTCTCTGTTCTGCATTCACAGCATAATGCAAGGAGTGAAATGTAATAAAAGTGACTGAACTCTTTGAGCCGCCACACTTGTGATCAATCCCCCTTCCTCTGTCTGCGCTTGATTGCAGGAGGTGATTTTAAAGAGAGCGGCAGATCTGGTGGAGGCCTTGTACGGGATGCCTCACAATAACCAGGTAAACTCTCTCTTACACACACACACAGACAAAAACACAAACAGCAATATCTCTTATTAGACATTATTATTTGTTTGTGGTTCGGGCCAAGTGGCAGCATCAAAGGCGCTTATCTCTGCTGGCGATGTAGCACCCTGCCGTGTTCGCGCAAGATCTGGGACCCACAAACATGCACGCTAGACTATGTTAGAGCTTTTTATCAATGCAGAGGGTGGAGATGAGATTAGAGGGAATGCAGAAGGCAGTTGAAGAGGAGGAGTGGCATTAAGGCTCGAGTCTGAAGGAGGAAGAATGGAAACCCAAAACAGGGAGGAAGAGGCAGGCTAAAGATCTGATGTGTCTGTTTAATGAGCCTTTCCTCCATTTACTGAACCAATCCCACCACTCCCAGCGACAACTGATAAAAACCACTCAGCTCTGCTAGATTTACATGTGCAGTATCTTGAGTGGAGATCTAGCATTCTTATCAGGCTATAAAGCCAACATCAAGGGTATATTTTCCCTCTTCTCTTCTCTTTTCTTCTCTGTTACTGACCACCACTCTTTTTTTTTTTTTGTTCCTTCCTCATCGTCAGGAGATGATTCTGAAACGAGCAGCGGATATCGCGGAGGCCCTCTATACAACAGTCCCAAGAGGGCACAACCAGCTAGCCAGTCTTGGCAGCAGCTCTGTTCATGCTGGCATGATGGCAGTAAACTCTTTCACCGGGTCAGAGGTGGCACAAACAGCCAATCAGGGTGAGCAAACACACCAGGAAACAATTCTGGCCTATTGTCATGGGAAAAGGAAAAAATGTTTATTTGCTGTTGTCCATTTAGGGATGACAGCAGGGGGGGGGCAACTGGCATTTTATTTTTCATGTGGGAAATTTAGAGATAGTGATTTAAGAGCATGGAGCAAATAAGAAAGTGTGAAAAAGGAGGACAGGAGGAGGAGAGGTGACAGTAAGAAACGGGGAAAACTTGAAAGAAAGATGGTGAGAGAGTGAAGAATGGAGAAAAAGAAAGCCGTGGATGGAGTACGATGGAGAAATATGAGTGGGTCCTAGGGGTGTGTATATTAGACTGGGGTCGGCCCCTGTCTGACAGAGAGAGATGTGGGTGCAGTCAGTGGTGATTCATCACATGTATCGGGGGAACCAGAGGAGAGTGGATGGACCAGCCTCTGGATGCATCTCAATAATTCCAATGAGCTTCCTCTGCCCTTCATTTTCATCCGGAAACATTTTTAACCTATCGTTTGTTTCACCCTCATATTAGATGAAAATGTAAACTTAATCAGGGAGGAGCAGAGTGATGAAGAAGTGAGACAATACTTGTGATGAGTAGCCTTTGTTACACTAGAGCAGGGGTGTCAAACATAAAGCCCGGGAGTCAGAATCACCTCAGTAAAATCCGTTTTGACATCCCCACACTAGAGAGTGGAAATTCCAGATGTTCAGTTCCAGCCATTTTTCCCCCACCAATGTTATCATGTTGTATATTGTATAGATATTGTGTAGGCTCACTTTGTGTCTTCAAAGCAGCTCTGACCCATGGGTGCCCTGTAGTGTCTGGTACTGGGATGTTGGCAGTTTGTGATGTGGAGTGATGCATCTGTGTATGAGGGATGTTCCTGAATCCTGTAGAGTTTGAAGGCCGGGTGAACAGATTGGGCACCATTCATGTGCAGGCAGGGCACACCGTCGTGCAGGGCAATGTGCAGGTGGGCGTTACCACGTCACATGAATGGCAGTACCCGAGGCTTCACAGCAAAACACTGCAGTGAAACAATGATTTTCACTTTGCCCGTCAGCGGTTTTAGTGTTGTAGCTGATCAGTGTGTATTTATAGTCTTCCATTTTACATTGTTCTCCTTCTGTTCACTGCCCCTGTAAAGCATGAAAGGTCCTGTCAGAAATACTAGCTTCATTCTTTGTAAATTACAAGAGAGCCGCCAAGGCCTTTTACCGTTAATTGCCTTATCAATATATCTAATTCTGAAGAGGAGCCAGCAGGGTGATAGTCCTCTTGTTTCAGGCGTTGGGGGGGGGGGGTGCGCGGCTAGATCCCTCTCATATCATTCTTCCTCCACTCTGTTCATTACTTTTTTTTCTCTCCCATATGCTGTCTAAGATTTTTCTAAGAAAAAGCAAAACATTTCTTCTGGCTTGTAATGCTATGTCCATTAGTATGAAAAAAGGAGCATTTGGCAGCAGCTGCATGTAGGCTTTCTTGTTTTGGTATGTCTGCCATCTGCTATACCTCTAACACTCTCCATCCCCCTTTCTTTCTCTGTCTTTAGGTTTCAGTAGGAGTACAAGCAGTGTGTCCCCTCATGGTTATGTCCCCAGCTCTACTCCCCAGCAGAGTAGCTACAGCTCTGTCTCCACTAGCATGAATGGCTACGCTAACTCTGGCATGGCAACCTTGGGCACCTCGCCCAACTTCCTCAATGGATCTGCAGGCAACTCGCCTTATGCTAGTGAGTAAATACAGTGCATACTAGAGCTGAAAGTTTGGGTGGGGATCAGCATTTTGTAAATGACAGAAGACATCTCTGAGAGGAACTGAGAAGCACGGCAGGAAACAAGAATCGACACGACAGGAGAAAGTATTTCAGTTCAGCTGGCTCATCTGTTTCTTTAAGAGCAGAGTCAAACACAAATCCCCGCTTTATTGGCCAGGGGAGGAGATCACCTAGCACGTCCCAACACCTCCTCGACACACACGCGCACACACACACACACACACCACCTCTGCTCACACACACTCACCCTCTACATTAAAGACTCTTGATTAAATCAATAAACTAATTGCTAGAGAAGCAATTCCATTTCAGCTCTTTGATTCCTGGGTGTTAACAAGTATTTTAACAGGCTCATCGGCCCCACACAGACACTTTCAATCAATGGCCCCTCGGCCTGCCTTTGTAGGTCCAATTTTCATTAATTGATTAGTTAGGCCCCTTCATAAATGGATTATGACTTTATTGCAAGGATTTGTCAGGAAGAGCCATAAAAGCTAAGTGTTGGATAATAACAACAATAAAGGCAGAGGCAGATATCACAGGGCAGGTGAAATACGGCTCAGCTGATTGTAAAATCACTGAAGGGGGAAATGCTCTTAGTGTATTAGCAGACAAAAGACAAACCCAGGAGAAGTGGATGGATGGGATGATGTCAGAGGACATGATTTGGATTGTGAAGAGTTGGGTCATTTGGCTGTGTGTGCCTCTCATGAGGGTGAATTACAGTGGCCACAGTAAATCCAGCTAACGGCTATCTTGTACAAAGCTTTTGATTTCATTTCAGAAGCACTGAGAAGCTCTTTTAGATATGAATATGTTCAAAAAGTTTCTCTATCATGCATTTGAAATCTTCAATCCACCGTTCCAGAGGGGATGTCCCAAAAGTACAAATCCACATCTAGCCCTTAAATTACATGACATATGGTTAACAACTGTTTAGAGTGCTTTTAAGGTGGTGAATGATGCCTAATGTGCAGTTAAAATGCAAAGAGCCAGTGGGCAAGCATATTGCTTATGTATTCTAATTTTTTAAACCTTGTTGGTTAAAACCTCTAGCATAAATATCTGTGATAAAGTAGATGTGTGGGAGCTTTGTTTGTAAGTTGCCCTGAAAACAAATTACAGGTTACAGTACCTAAAGTTGCTGAGGAGATGTTTATCATCCCCTGAGCACAGGATGAGTCATCAAAACAGATTGATCAGAAGGGGGGAAAAACGACCTCAGGCCATTTTCAGCATTTTCCAACTAAACACATTTTTGTGTAAGATATGGAAAATCTCTTTGCCAAATAATTGCTTAACAGCACAACAGGTAGCAAAACAAGTCTGAGCCAGTTGATCTGAAAACAACATGTCACCCCTCCTGCCATCATCCATTGACCAGTCCCCTTCTGTTCGTCCCATCTGCCTGTCCTCTGCCCTCGGCCCTCTCTCTAACCCCCTTTCTGCCATCGTCGTCCCTTCCTGTCCTTCTTCCCTGACATACACCTATGACGCCCCTTCCTAAAACACCCTCTCCTACCCGTCTCTCTCTCTTTCCCTCAGTCGTCCCGTCCAGCCCGACGATGGCGTCGTCGACCAGCCTGCCCTCCAACTGCAGCAGCTCCTCTGGCATCTTCTCCTTCTCTCCAGCTAACATGGTGTCTGCAGCCGTCAAGCAGAAGAGCGCATTTGCCCCCGTTGTCCGACCCCAGAATTCCCCTCCTCCCACGTGCACCAGCGCTAATGCTAACAGCCTGCAAGGTAAGCCGCTAAGTAGCCTCACGCTAACTTGCTGATGAATTTGAAATTTGCAGTATGAGCACAGTAAAAAGTTTTAGTAAAAATATTTGCTAGGAATTGTTCACCCTCAAGCTTTAATCCTGCTTTTCCTCACCTCCTATGATAACGTCTCACTTTTACTCCTTCGATTTTCCTTTTTCTTCCTCCACTCCTTTTTTCCCCCCCTTTCTTGGCCCTCCCTCCACTCTCCTTCCTCACCGTAGATCAGTCTTTTGTGGACTCTAGCAAGTACTCATCAGCCAGCTCTCTGCAGGGCCTGGCCTTCTCCTGAAGTATGTTACTCCGCACTTTCATTTTTCTCTTTCTCTGTTTTGGCTTTCCACTCCACGCTATCCCAGACCGCTCATTTGCACCATCCTGCCCTGCCCTTCCTTCTCGTTTCTGTTTTTATTTGTCACTCTTGACTTGTCAGATAGTCATCATGCTACCCCATATGTGTTATATTTCCTGTTTTCACTTCCTGCTTCCTGCCCGTCCTCTAGTTGGTGCGTCTGCGGGGGGAGGGTGTGAAGGGAGGTCGTTATGCCACCACGGGTCACTCTGTTCTCTCATTTCCATCGAATGCGGCACGGGGTCTGTTCGTCTGGGCAGGATGTTGTATGGTGCTGAGATCCTGAGAGAGAGAAATGATGGATGGGAATCTTTATCAGAGCCCCAAGCTAAGCACTTCCTCACTTCCTTCGTCGGCGTTGATGAGCTCTGACCACTGTGACCTAAGGGCCAATGGCCACTATGCTCTGATCACACTGACACGCGCGCACACACACACACACACATGCACACACCATTCTGTTAATCCCAACAAGTGGGAGACACTTAGGAAATAACCTGGGAATTAGTGGATTGAAGAGTGGGGGAAATCAATAAGGAGCCAATATGTTATATGAAAAATTTCTATCTGTGATGGTTTCTGTGTAAGAAAAAAAAACAGGATAGAGGGAAGGAGTGATGGGGGGAGGTGGCTTGTGGGGAGGCGGAGGTGCAAGAGTTGGTGCTATAGGGAGGTAAAGATGTGAGTATATCTCATGGATTTCATTTCCATGTTTGAGCCTAATTTTCATCACCTCTGTCATTCCACATCAGTTCATACTCTCCCCACCCTCTCGTTTGAGTCATTCTCCATAATGCACATAATAGGCTTGCACCATGTAGCTGTTAACAATTAACAGCGGCAGCTCTTGCATGAAGCTGTTTAGGAGGCCTGTGAGAAGCTGAACAATGTTGTCGATGCGCGGCCAAGTCAGCGGCAGCGGCGGAGGGAAATGTTTTGATTCCTGGGGCCTCGGAATGAAGAGATAATGAGGGAGAGTCGTCTTTGTTCGCCAGATGCTGGAGCACATTGCTGTTATGTGACTGTTGTGATGACAGATGAAACCCAGCAATCACATGACTGACCTTTCTCTCTCTTTCTTTACCCCTCAATCTCCCATTCACTCCTTCTACCTCCCCCTCTTTTCCCACAAAGCAGCGATTCCCGGGATGATCGTTCCACCCATGTAGAGGATCTGGGATAGCTGGAGATTTGGGAATGTTGAGAGGAAAAAAAAGACAGTAGCGGAGTCTGGTGAGTCTCTGTTATGCTGCAGAGCTAAAGTGAAGGAAGTCAAGATAAAGACGCAGGACTCTGTTAAACTCAGGCCTTTCCATTGGGATTTCATCTGAAGGCGATAGGAGAGAAAGAAAAAGGGGACAATATGAACCTTTTGTGATGTTATTTCCCTCTTGGTTGAAATAGTGTAGCTTCTCTGACACCATGTTGGATGGAGTGTATAGAGACTGATAGTTTGCCCACAGTGTGACACTGACCTCATGAAAAGAGCATTTATTTATCTTTGTGTTTATGCCTGTAAGGTTTGGGTTTGATTACTGGAGGCCCCCACGCCGCCTTGCAATCCATAACTCGCACAAACAACAGCGAAGTGTTGGTTTGGCCATGAAGTTTACAATAACTTCAGTCACAAACAAAGGAGCTTTCCTTACCGTTTCCGCCTCTCTAAAACCGCAGAGCGACACAGTGGCCAAATGGAGAAGGAAAAAAAAAGTTCAGCAACACAGAAAAAAATAGAAAATCAACCATTGATTTTGCTGCTAATTTTCCAATAAATCTTAAAAATTGTCTAGCAAAACTGCCCCAAGCTGTTTAAACATCACGCCTTGCTTTTATTTTATTTTATTTTATTTTTTTAAATCTCTCTCTCTCTCATTTTGGTTGGTTTGTTTGAATTTTAATAAAACTGTGAGGATAGAGCTGTTTGCAATATGCTTTTTCTGCTTGACATGTGAAGACAAGGTGACGATGAGAATTTAGCCAAAACTGACGAGGTTTTTAGTGAAGACTTGAAAAGCCAGAGGATGTGTGTGCGTCCAGCCAGCACTGTAACTGAAGGAGCCTAGCAAATATCAAATTAGAATAAATGCGTGATATATGTGATATATTTTTGTATATATAAAAAAAATGTTCATTTTGGGGTTTTTTTCACTTCTTTACTCTTTTTTTTTGCGATAGCTCTAGTTTGAAATGTAAACATTAAATGTCTTAAGGCAGCTTCTCAGTACAGAAGATAGATTTACTGCGTCTTGTCAATATCTCATTTGCTAAACATGAGAAACATGGGTTTGGATACAAAAAGGGGATCCCTGTAAAATACCCTATAAATAATGTATTTATCCCTTGTATTTGTACATTGACTCTCACCCTCGTTTAGTTGTGTTGTGTAAGTTTAATACAGTAAGTGAACACTTTTCGCAGTGTTTCGTTTCATTATTTGCTGTTGTCTCTCACTATTTAAATGTGACTTTTTTTTAATCTTTGTTCCTTTTTGTTTTTTGTATGTTGTTTTGCATCAGTATGCCATGCTTCTGTTTGTTGATTCAAAACATGCCATTGTCTATTTTTGTATTATTTGTAAGTTAATAAAAAAATCTTTTTTTTTTCCTTATGAAAATGTTTATTGTACGGCAAAAAAAGTAGCATCCTATTCAGAGTATTTCGTTGAAGTAGATTTTTTAAGAATATAAACACACATTAATATATACTGTAAATCTATATCTTTTTGTTTGAACTCTGAGGCTTTCAGATTGATACTGTTCTTGAACTGATAATATGCATGGGTTCTTCTCTTGAGTGACTCTTTCTTTATGTGTGTGGAAAACCAAGAGAACAAACAAATTGCTCTGTTTTTCTTTCTTTGTGTTCCTCTTTTTTGCCTCCCTCCTCTTCCTCCTCCTCCTCTGTTCTTCCCTATGTTATTTATGCCTGCTTACATACTGTATCTATATACTCTTTCTTTTATTTCTGTCACTGTAATCTTTACCAGCAGTCTAGATGCCTTAACAATGCAAACCCATTCTTCATTCAATCATGTGTACAGTTTTTCTACCCTCACCACAATTGTCTGTTGCCACAGAGGAATTCATGAGAACTTGGGGACAAAGCACAAACCCACTCTGTTTGGTGGTAAAGCCAGACTAGAATACAAAGAGCCATAATTCAACAATCACACACACACACACACACCCCGATGTACTATAATACTGCAGCAATGGCACGCTTTGAAGGACAAGTCGGAGCGGCCTTTCTCAGCTGTGCTTCCTGCACGTTCGGAGAAACACTTTTTGTAGCAATTATGTAGCTTTTTTTTAATGATTTTGGCAGCATGATAGTAACATTTCTCATCAACCACAGGATCACAACAGTACGACAACACATGGCTGTTTTTATTGTAGTACAGAGGGGCGCACAGTGAAGACAAGCGCTGCCACAGCACAATTTTAATCTCTACACAGAGTTGTAGGTCTGACTCCAGTATCCGACAGTCAACCCAGCCCCCAGTCCTTCACCGTCTGTATTGGCCTTTGGACAATACAGCTTCATTTCAAGCTAAACAAGACTAAAAAGAACATGTGATGAACCACAAAAGGGAGCTCCTTGGCCCATCAGACATTTCTGTAGTCTTTTTTTTTCTTTTTTTTTCGTGTCTGTCGTGTGTCTTCAAGCTGTTGCTGGACAGAGAATAGGGCTTTTTCTCTCTCTGCTTTTTCTTTTCTAGAGCCTGGTTTTGTTAAGGGGGTAGAAAGGACCGTTTTAACAGAGGCGCCTGCTGACAGACGAGTGTTTTTCAGGCACTTGTGTGCCTGTGCCGGTCTGGGCCAGGGCGGGAGGGGCCGCAGCATATCTGTTTCAAATGAACTACAGAGGTCTGTTGTCATACAATGGCATCTTTGTAAGCAAAAGTTCCATCCCAAATATGAGTATCAGTAATGGGTGACAAAGTTTTTGTATTTAGGTAACAAACAACAAAAAAAGAAGAAGATGCAAACCAAATAGCTGGTGTCTATTTTTTCCTCTGTTTGTCTTTGACTGCAAATACACTGAACAGCTCTATGATATAAGGGAAGAAAAAAAAATCTACTGTATAGATTGTTATTGTTTTTGATGAAAATTGAGCTGTAAGATAACTTTTGGAATCTCACAATGTTGAATTAAAGTTACCTCTTGTCTGTGACTTTGTCAGGTGTCCTTTTATTTCAAAATATGCCTCATTCCTGATTTATTTTATGTTACCGGTTTTCTCTGGGCTTTTTTTTTTTCACTGAAAATGTCTTCTCCAATTAGCTGACAGGCAGCTGACTAAGAATAGAGGAGGAACGGCTACGGCTTATTCCACAGGTCAGAAACAGGCCTGCATCCTTTCCCCTGCTCGGCTCCTTTCTCTAATGAATCTAATTCATTAATGCATTACTGATGGCATGGTGAACATGGTTAGCCTGACAAGTTTCCTCCTAAACATATTAGTTAATGATGATTCCAAGGTTATTAATTGCAAAGGCACCAGCCCACCATAATTGAGTCATCATTTGCATACCCGGTCATCAGCAGAAAATTAATTTCTTTTTTATTTTTTGCATATCTAATTTAGAAGGCTGCGATTGGATTAGCTCGTGAAAACAGCAGAACACCAGGATTCTGCTGACCTCAAAGTATTCCAGGGTCTCCTCGGTAACTGGAGGCTTCCGCAACACCAAGGGGCGGTGAGGGGGGAAAGCAAGACGACCTGGAAGTACTGATGAAATAAGGGCTCGTAAACACTGCATGTGCTTGTGTGTGTTTGCCTCCCTAATTGCCTAAAGGTTCATAACAACACACAGTCTTTTTTTCCTCTCTCTACTAAGTCTAATAACAGAGTTGATAGTTTGCTGACAAACAGTAAAGTGGGTGGCGGCGTGCATGATTTAGCAGTAAGAGGTGGGATATTGAATTATGGAGGTTGCACACTTAGTCCCGAGGAAAATGAGTCCTGGAGCCTAATGTTTTTGATTAGCAAGCCGAGCACCAATGCTGCGTTGCACCGAGGGATTCGGCTTCCCCTAAATGTAGCTTGCAGTGCAGCACATATACACACCTACACACACTGAAACACGCACACACTCATAAATCATAAATACACATAGACAAAAGGTGAACGCATTTTGCTCTTTATTTCCAGCTGCTTTTCAGGCCCCAGATAGACTGGTCAGTGTGGGAGGAGGACAATAGGAGTGGGAGGCCGAGGGCAGCATGGAGCCAGCAGACCTCAGCCCTCTGGAGACGTAACATTAAAGACGCTATTCCTGGAGAACTACTCCACTGGATAGAGCCGGCAGAGCCCTCGCACATCAAGAGAGGTGCTGTTCAGGAGCTTCTGTGCTACTAGTACCCTAATGAAATATATTAATGCACACATTCCTCGCTCTCCTACTCCACCTCCTTCTTTTTTCTCATTCTCTTCCCTGCATGGACACATGAAGGGAGGAAGAGCGGAGAGATGTATTTGAAAGAAAAACAGGAGTCCCCATGGGGATCTCGGATAAAGAAGAGGAAAGGAAAGAAATGGAAAGGAGAGAGGATGTGAGTGTGTGTGTAGGGGGATATTCAGAATGGAGGCAAGGCTTAGACAGCGAACAAAACACAAGGAGAGGAGGGATGAATATTAATAATATTCTGTGTTGGAAAATAGTCACAATGGACATCATTGAAAGACGCAGAGAGGCAACGGGAAGCGAGAGCCATCCCCGGCCTTACTTACTGAGCGTGTGCGCACCTTCCCGCATGCGCACGAACACGCCTGCCATATTTGAGCACACCTCGAACAAGTGTGTACTCACAGTCGGGTTTTGCGCGCCCGCTTGCGAGGGTGTGTGGTCGTTTCCCACAGTAATTATCCCGATGACTGTGGGTGTCTGTCTATGATCTGTGTGGTACCTGTCAGAGGGAGCCCAGCAGAGCCCGTGCTTTATATTCCCTGTAATTGCTGCTGCTAATTTACTGTGCGTTGGCCTAATGAGTAGGGAGGTGAGGGGCTGGGGTATGTAATGGATGTTAGAGAGATAGAGATAGAGAGATGGATTTCACCACTGGCGGCACACAGAGAGGGAAGAGGGGAGGAGGCCGGCGAACTGTGTGTGTTAAGCAAGCATGTAGAACACTTATCTTTATTGTTCTACTAAAATGGAAAAAAAACCAAAACAAAAAGCAAAAAAAACAAAACAAAAGATAAGCTATTTGCCCCTCCAACACCACCACCACCCTCCTCCTCCTGCTCTCCCTCTTTCTCCCCCCTCCAGCCTCCCCTCCTCAGCTGACGGTACAGTGGCGACTACAGCGAGCGCATTAGACGAGCTTTTTGTTATGTTGATTAATGATAAAAGCAAATCCATAAATAATATAGATTATTTATTCCATTTATTCACATGCTAATTAGAGCTAGAAACAGATACCTCAGAGAGATGGCCCCTTTTTTTTTTGTACACCCCCCTCATCTGTTCCGGTGCAGTCAGATAGCTAGACCAGCTGACATTCACCCACACGCATAGACAGTCACACGTTAATGTCATTCACACTTTGAAGCACCAATGGTATCTTGTGATGGGGACACGTCCACCCTTCATTTCTCCCTAATGAGGTCATGATAGAGGCCAGCGGTTTCGGCACGCCGCACACACCCCTCTGTTTTTCCAGGCGCACACATTCGGCAAGCGCTGGATTGACAGGGTCGTCTTTGATTGATGCACCGCGGTTCTTCCACATGTTCTACAGCTCACTCATTTAATTATGTTTCCTAAGCATCATTAAGTACCATTATATTCTATCATATTGTAATGAGAGAGGTGGCCAGTCACAGGACAAGCTAATTGGTGATTAATGTTGTGTATCAGTGAGAGACGAACGCAAGATTGGCCGTTTAATGACAAAACACTGTATTTAAGTGCTGAATGTGTAAAAAAACACAAACAGAGAGGGGAAATTAGAGAGAGTGTGATTGAAATCAAAACAGATATGGCCTCTTAGAGGTCTAATCTCTCACCTTTCCCTTCACACACACTCAAACACACACCTCCCTCCCTTCCCTCCTACCTTAAACACACACAAACTTCCTGCATTATTCTGAATTGTTCACCTCTTAGCTGCATTAAGGACACTTACTCAGGTAATGCTGGAGCCTGTCTCTGCAGACATAACTTACCTGCTCCTTGAGATTAACCGCTAACTCAGCATTGATGCACTGGCTGCATCACAGGTACACACACACACACACACCCAGCACACAGATACAAACATCCTCATCTGGTATTGATACGCCGCGCGGCTGTAGGTGTTTCCATTTAAGGTCAGTCGATTGCCTTAAGTATGTAATGTTAGGAGGGGGGTCCGTAAACATGTCAAATTAGCAGTAATGAATGACCAGGCACTGGCAGGGGGAACTGTCAGGGTGCACGGCCAGGACAATACATTACCCTGAGTTATCCTAGTCTGTCCTCATTGTAACACACCCACAGTGACTGAGCAGACACGGGGTGTAAACTAGTGGGACCCATTCAGCGGTCACACACTCCACTTTAATGGTCCGTGTGGCTGATTGGTGCCCAGGAGATGAAAAAGACTCGAAACAAGAAGTAGACACGTCACCAGAGCACGGAAAGTTCAGGGTAAAATATTCTCAAAGCAAAGTTTAAAGATTGATGGACACAACCAGGAAGGTAGAAGGGGGAAAAAATGCATGAAAATAGATAGAGAGATAGATAGAGGACTAAGCTAGAGGGAGAGAAAACAAACTGTGGTATTTATTTTTTCTTCTCAGTGTTGAAACAGGAAAAGGACCTCTGGTTTAATAAACCATGAATCCTTTCACAGAGGGTTTGTATGTTATTCTTCGGAGGAACAGATACGTGAGGAGGAGAGGAGAGCGAAAGAGAAGCAGGGAGCAGCAGGGGGGGAAAAAGAGAAAAAAAAAGATGCTCTGCAGCCATATGAAATTTGCTCTCCCCACTTTACCAACACACACACTTATACATCCACTCTTCAGCCCACTTCCAGGCTGTATGTTAGTTTTGGGTAAGAAGTGTGGGATGAGGAGGGAGGGATACACATCCTTTCCCCCTCCTCCTCCTCGGACTGGAACTGAAGAAGCATAAATGAGAAGTAGAAGATATACTTTCCATCTGTAAACACTCAAATTCCTCTCTCTTCTTCCTCTCTGCATTGTGAAAACGACCTTCTAACATATCCTGTCCACACGGAAAATCATCTGTTCACCACAGCAAAGCGCTCGCATCAGTATGTGGCACATACGCACAACGAGACTGTCCACTTTAATTTCTGAGCTTGTCCCAACTATATGCACAGTACTGTGGCAATGGTGATAAATAAACATGTACACAAGCGTGAACCTACTGTTTCTGTATGTTGTCTCCTCACCTCCCACACTCCTCTCCACGTCTTCTCTCTCTCTCTCCCTCCCCTTCCTGTAACAAAGGTTACATTGATCATGTTTCTAAAAGAGTCTCTGTATTTCCACATGGCCCAGCCTCTGATATGTTTTTCTTGGCAGGTCCGACTTCTACTTTTGTCATTCACTCAGCATATTTTAACAAATTAGAAACATTAGAAACCGGGATCGCGGCAATGTTTTGGTTTGGTTTCGAAACTCTTACAGTCCCCACAATTATATTTCAAAACACGGCCGAATTGTTTGACAGCCTGAGCGGAATAAAACCCCTAAAACAACTTATTCATTAGAAACACATGCTCTCGCAATTACAGCTTAGCATTATGTTAATGTGTGTTTGCACTGGTTCATTTGTTGTCGTGTGAAAGGCTACGTCGCCAGAGTGCGAGCTCGGGTTCGAATGTGTGCCTGCTTACACGCGCGTGCCCTCTTGCGCGATTGCATGCCGCATGTGTGTGCGTGCGCGTGTTTAAGGGACAAAGGGACACAGTGCTCCACATAACAGCATTACAGATGGCTGTTGTGAGTGGTTGTGACAGTGAAAGCGAGTGAGTTCCCACTCCATACAGATGTACTCTGAGTGACCTTACAAACACAGTGGAACTAAAACAGGCCCCCTACCTCTCGCTCTCACTCTGGCACACACTGTCAATTCTCACTCAGCCCTTGCGGGGCACTAAAAGTTGTTTCCTGAGCCAGGAATACATCAAGGGCCAAGAATATATAAGCAGGGAGCAGGAGAGATGCATAGCTAGGGTCCAGGAAAGCATAACTTGGACTAAGTAAATATTGGACTGAAGGATTAGTAGCTTTTGCCACCTATAAAAGCAAGGCTGCTATGCCAGGGGAAGTTAACGACCACACGCTCTGACTTTACCGTGGATTGTTTTACCAAGGAGCTGCTGTGGACAAAGAGGACATTTCGACAAGATCACGTTATGGAGGAAAAGAGGAAAACGAGAAATGACTTCAACAATTGCCCCCTTCCTTTCACTGACTTTGAGACAATTCAAAAACGACTCAAGTCAGGAGAGAGGTGATCTTTATGTTTCACTTTGTGAAAAGCCCAGGCCCACCACTGTTGCTGCTACTTTTAATTTACTTTTGGATCCTCCTCTCAAGTAAGAGAAAAATGCTTAACTATTTCTAATATCTCGAAATTGTATAGCAATGTTATTTGCAATGATTACAACAGGTATACGTAAAAGTTAAAATGATGCTTTTCCATTTTTAATGTGTGTTCAGAGGTCTTGTGGAA